TTTTTTTAAACTAAAAGGACGTTTCCTTCATATAACTACCATTTGAATTCATATTTACTGTACATGAACTAAAGGCTATTCAAACATTTCATCTCAGTTATGTAAAGCAACTTAGAGTCGGAAATTAATGCCATCTTACTTGCTGCTCCAGTTCTTCCCATCTTTACAACCAAGCTGTCGAAGTACACTGCACCTATTAATAAAGTCTATGGCTTGTGCTTTCAGCTGTTCTGCACTGTGCAAATCTGCAAGGACAAGGGTATCAGCAACGTTTTCTACAGAGAGGTTACTACACAGAGCTTCTTCACACATGACCTTCAGCCGTTCCAGTGCATACTATTTAAAAGAAAAGCATAACCATTAAACAGTTACTTGACTGATTAAAATGTTTTTAAATATGTATTTTTCAACTTGGAAAAGAAACTATTCTTTAGACTGAGGGTACTTTAAGTCTTTAAATTGTTGTTCTGACTTAAAAAAAAATATATATATACATACAAAATAGAAGGCACTTGTATTTTAGTGTTTAGCATAAATACTTAACAGTGTTTATGCTAAAAGGTTATATTGATGAATATTTATGACTACATTTTTCTACTAATTCAGGTATCAGATTGTACAGACTGCTGCTTCTCAAAATTGAAAAATTATTAAACTAAAATATTTACAGCCACTAAAATATCTTGGAGTTGTTAATGTGGTAGTGGTGTTGGTTTTCAGAGGCAGTTAAAGAAACGGGAGTGGCCCGCCCATTTTTTTCTCATAACTGACAGTTTCTAACTGCCTCCCTCTGAGTTGGCAGTGCAGGTCTTTACCACTATGCCAGAGCTCCCCTGATAGTATGTATATTATATATTTTAACATTTTTAATGGCTTTATTAAGGTAAGATTAACAAACAGCAAACTGTACATGTCAAAATATATGCTGAAAAGTTTGATATATGCATACATCCATGAAGTCATGAAAGCAAACCAGTACATACATCAATCATTTCCAAGTTTCTTATTACCTCTAGACAATTCTTCTCCCATACAGATACCCCCTATAAACAGAATCAAATAGCATATTCTCATATTTCTCTAGCTACTTCCATTCAGTATATTTCTTTTTTAAAAAATTTTTATTAGTTTTGTGTAAGTGTACCGTCAAATCAGATCTGACTGGTACAGGAGATTGTCCCTCCTTCCCCGGCAGAGCATCTGGTGGCTTCGAACCGTGTGCCTCTGGGATTGTAGTTGCAGCTCCTTACCACTAGGCCACTAGAGCTCCCCTAGTATATAATACTTCTGAGATTTATAAATGTTGCTTTATGAATATCTGAATCTCTTTTTTGTGGCTGTGTAGTACTTCACTGCATACCCATTTCCAACCAGTAGATTCTGACTCGTTATTGTTGTTATGTGCCATCAAGTTGCCTGTGACCCTATGTACTAGAGCTCTAAACTCCATTCTATTCTGTGCCAACCTAGCCATCTCAAACGCACTCATTCCCACCACTCCAGTCACAGAATCGATCCATCTCATTGAAGGTCTTTCTCTCCTGCACTGCCCATCCACTCTGCCAAACATGATGTTCCTCTCCAAGGACCAGTCCCTCCTTGCAACATGCCCAAGGTATGTCAGATGAAGCTTCAGAATCCTTGACTCCAAGGAGCATTCCGGCTTCACCTTCTCCAGGACAAACCTGTTTATTCTCCCAGCATTCAACATTCTTCTCCAGCACCACAGCTCAATGGCATCAATTCTCTTTCTATCATCCCTATTCACTGTCCAAATCTCCAATGCATAGCACATAATTGCGAAGACTACAGCCCAGAACAGGAGCACCTAAGTCTTCAGCCTGACATTGCTGCTCTTCAGTCCTCTTGAGAGGTCCCTCACAGCTGACTTTCCCAATGCAATTCGTCTCCTGACTTCCTAGCAGCTGTTACCAAGAGTGTTGACTGTGGAGCCAAGTAAACTAAAACTGTTAACTGTCTCAATCTCTTCACCATCCATACTGATGCTGCCAATTGGCCCAGTGGTGAGAATCTTTGTTTTCTTGATGTTGAGCTTCAGTCCATATAGGAGGCTGCAATCCTTGATCTTCTGTAGCAAGTGCTTCAGGACCTCCTCAGTTTCAACAAGCAGGGTTGTGTCATCTGCAAAACGCAGGTTGTTGATGACTCTTCCACCAATCTTGATGCCACATTCCTCCTCGTACAGCCCTGCATCTCAGATGATATGTTCTGCATACAGACTGAAAAGGTATGGAGACAGAATACATCCCTGAAGGACCCCCTTCTTGATTTTGAACCATGTAGTGTCTCTGTTCTGACAACTGCCTCTTGGTCCAAGTAGAGGTTTCGCATTAGCACAATCAAATATTCTGGGATTCCCATTCTTCTTAGAGTCAGCCATAGCTTACTGTGATCCACACAGTCAAAAGCCTTTGCATAGTCAATGAAGCACAGAAAAACATTCTTCTGGTATTCTTTGCTTTCTGCCAAGATCCATCTTAACATTAGCTATAATATCCCTAGTACCATGACCTCTTCTAAATCCAGCCTGCACATCTGGCAGTTCTCTGTTGACATATTGCTCTAAACGTTTTTGGATAATTTACAGCAGAATCTTGCTTGCATGTGATATTAATGATATTGTTCGATAATTCCTGTACTCTGTTGGGTCACCTTTCTTTGGAATGGGAACATTATAGGTCTTTTACAGTCAGTAGGCCAGCTGGCTGTCCTCCAGATTTCTTGGCACAACTTAGTGAGCACATCCAGACCAATGTCTGTTTGTTTAAATATGTCAACTGGTATACCATCAACTCCTGGAGCCTTGTTTTTTGCCAATTCCTTCAGAGCAATTTGAACTTCCTCCTTCATCACCATAGGCTCTTGCTCATATGTTATTTCATTAAATTCTTCTGATACAGTGACTCTATGTATTCCTTCCATCTTCTCTTGATAATTCCTAGATCATTTAACGTTCTGACTCCCAGCAACCCTATTAAGCAGTGTAGATTTTCTTTATGGAAGTAGACTGCCACATCTTTCCCCCATGGAGCAGCTGGTGGGTTTGAATCACTTATCTTTTAGTTAGTACTGTGTAGCACCTTATTTTTTTATTCCACTGTTGTATGTGCTGTGGAGTTGGAATGGACTCATAGCTGACCCTTCAGAGGATTTTCAGAGGCAGTAAGCCCCAAGGGAGGAGACTGCTCACACTTCTTCCTCACAGCAGCATGTGCAGTGTATTTTCTTATCACTAGGCCACCAGAGCTCCATATACCACCTGTACTGTTCCACAACTGGTTTATCCATTCCCTTGTTGATGAACATTTGAGTTCTTTCAGTTTTTGGCTATTAAAGTTGCCATGGATATTAATATACAAGTCTCTTTATGAACATAGGCTTTATTTTCACTTAAGTGAGAACTCAAAAGTAAAAGTGAAGGATCATATAGTTAATATTCTGCTTATTTTCATAAACTACCAAGCTCTGTCCTAATCAGTTCCAAACAACAGTGACCCTCCCTATATGCAACAGCATGAAAAGATACACAATCTTGACCTACCCTCACAACTGTTGCAAATTCATCATGAGGAGGCACCTCCTCTTCTTCCTTTAATATTCTACCTTACCAAGTAAGGCATCCTTTTTCTAAGAACTGCTTCTTTCTGACAACACATCCAAAGTATGTGAGATGAAGTCTTGCAATTCTTACACCCAAAGAGCATTCTAACACTGTATGTCTCCAAAGACAGATTTGTTTATTCTTCATCAGTCTATGTTATTGCCAATATTCTTCATCATCATCATAATTCAAAAGCATCAATTCTTTGTTGACCTTCCTTATTAATTGCCCAGCTTTTCCACGCATATAAAAGGATTGGACTACCAGGTTAGTAATGACCTTTTTTCCAATACTGATGATTCATTCTTCTTTGGCCTGATGCCAACTGTGTAATAAACCATTAGTTGCTTATATGCAAATTCAAGCTGAAGCTGACGAAAATTTTAAGTAGTATACAAGAAACAAAATACAACCTTGTATATATTTCATCTGAATTAAGGGACCACTACAAAAACAGTACATGACTAACATTAAAGATCAAAGATCAGATGAATTATGGGATGACATCAAGAACAGCAGATAGGAAGAAAGTAAAAGGTCATTAAAAAGATAGGAAAGCAAAAAGACTGAAGCAGATGTCGGAAGAGATTCTGAAACTTAAAAGAATAGTAGCTACAGTAAATGGAAGAAATAATAAACTAACTGAACAAAAAATTTCAAATGGCAGCTCCAGAAGACAAAGTATTATAATAAAATGTGCAAAGAACTGTAACTAGAAAACAAAAAGGGAAAATCATGCTTAACATATTTTAAGCTGAAAGAACTGAAGAAAAAAAAAACATAAAGGTGAAACAGTGAAAAAACTAAAAAGACAAAATTTAACAATGAGCTATTATCTCACTCCAGCAACAATAGCAAAGTTTAACAGGATGACAAACAACAAATTCTGGCAAGGATATTATGGAGAGACTGGAACTCTTATTCAACAAACAAATGGGCAGAAAAACTGCAGTATTTCACACAATGGAATATTATACAGAACTGAAAAACAATGAGTTTGTAAATAACTACACAACATGGATGAAACGGAAAGACACTATGCTCAATGAAATAGTCACAAAAGGACAAATACTGCATAGTGCCACTGTTGTAAAATGGGACTGACATTGGGATTGGAGGGAGACTGAGAAAGATGGGATAAATTACTGAAACAGATGAGGGAGAGAACTGTTTAAAAAGGATATATGATTAGGTATTATTGTCATCACAGGAGTCCAGAACGAAGGACACATAGTGGAGTCGACCTGGGGGGAGGAACTGTAAAACAATGACAGAATTTTTCTTTTACTTTTCCAAGAAAAGAGCGAGCTGGAGGGTGGGGTGGGCAGAGAGGAAAGTGCAACAATGAATGAATGGAAATCCAAAGTCTCTGTAAACATTCATTAAGATTAATTAAAAAAAATTATAAAAAAAAAAAAGGTAAACACTATATAAGACCAATGTTACAAAAATAGGATGAACACAGGAGTAGAGTGAAGAAACAAGAAAAGAATGGATGGTTAATGAACAACACACTGGAATATGTAAAGGGAAGGACTATCTGAAGGAACAGATGATTAGGTATTTTATATATGACAATCTGGATCAAGACATGTCATGAACAAGTGAATTGAAGGAAGGAGAGAAAAAAGTATGTATCAATGATGAATGAAAACCCAATCTTTCTGCCAACCCAATCTTTCAGTGAAAACTGAAAAGTCTTTAATTAAGGAAG